GATATATAAAGGATGAGACAAAAATAATATACACATAACCTTAAAATTTCTGTGGTCATAGTTAAGGAACAAACTACATATCTAGTCAAGGTTTATCTGAGAATATTTGGTGTCTTAACCCAAGCCTTATCTACAAAGCACATGATAATTAAAAGTACCAGACTGGTGGATCTAACCTTACTGGATATTTAACAGCCATAGTTTGAGGCTTATACTAATATGATCAGAGGGACTTAAAGGACAGTTTTTGCCCCTTGTCTTCCAAGGTCGACTAAGTTCCAGGGGACTATAGAACATCTCTCAAAATATCCTTTAACTATAATGAGTCACCTGTCCTCTTGTTCAGGGAGGACATGGAGACCCCACGAGATGAACTTGAACCAGTATCCAATCTACAAAGAGGAGGGTCAACTCAGAGGAAACACCTCATTCATGCTTCCAAGTGAAGCCAGACATGGTTGAACAGGACCTCTGATTTATCGTCACGTGGATGGAACTGGTATAAGAAAGGAGCCAGGAGCTCCTCCCAAGCCCATGTGACCCCCTCCTTTGACTTATCGTCACGTAAATGGAACTGGTAAAAGAAAGGAGTCAGGAGCTTCTCCCAAGCCCATGTGACCCCTGAGGAACGGATCCTCAAATGACCTTAAGTATAAAAATAAATTGATTCATTTTGGCCAACTGTATGGTCTTAAACACCCAAAAGGAAAGTATAACCAAAGAGCAAAGTCATCAGTATACTTCTTTAAGAGTTCAAGGGATTACACTTCCCACACGTCTAAATAAAAAGTTATTTAGACAATTATTTTTCATTGATAATTTTGTTCCTAACCAGAAAGTACTGCTCAGATGTAAGACTTCAAATCTTGGTCTACAATACTGTAGTGCCCACCTGTAGCTAAGGGACACAACCAGCTATTGTTCTAAAATGATGGATACATTTGTTTTCTCCCCCTTTTAGAAGCCTTTGAGAAGGAACTAACACTGATTCTAACCACTCCAACAGCTATCAAAATAACTGAAAACAAATCCTGAATCCATCACTCTAGAGTCTAGCCTTGAAAGACAAAAAGAAAAACAAGGAAGAACCCAATAGAGGGATGCTTTTGGAAGCTCTTGTCAAGAAATTTCAATGGACTCTCGTATGAACATTTGAAAATTGCCATATTCTGACTTTTTTCTAGGTCCCTGTCTAGAACTTGTAATGCTAATTACTGTCACCTTTATTTCTCCCTCACATTTCCTATTCATGATTTAAGGACTTTCTTTTCCCCTTAGAAATAAGAGTTATGCAATTTGGGAGTCTTTTAGATAGGCCCACTGAAGGGGTACTCCAATTGCCTCACCCTGTGTCCCTGTTCAGCATGGAAGAAGCCAGAGCAGACTGTGTCCCCATTCACTATTGGCAATTTGGGTAACCCCTTCAGGGGATGGTGTGATAAGAATAGGAGGTAGGAATTGGCTAGGCAGTTAAGGTAAAAAGACTTCAAAGAAAAGTAGCCAGTTTCTAGGCTAAAAGTCAAAATGTTCTTGAGCCTATTAGCAACATACTCTGTTCCGAGACCAAAAATGTCAAAAGTATTTGGGAGCTTGTATCTAATCTTTAAAAGATTTTAGGGTTACCTCTTCAGAGGGGAGAGTGTTGTTGAGGGGGGAAGTGGGCATGGATTTGACCAAAACACCTTATATGCATATGTGAAATTCTCAATAAAGTTTTTTTTTAAAAAGTTAAAAAAAAAAACGCCAGGCGTGGTGGCGCATGCCTTTAATCCCAGTGCTTGGGAGGCAGAGGCAGGAGAATGTCTGTGAGTTCAAGGCCAGTCTGGTCTATATAGTGAGTTCCAGGACAGCTGGGGCTACAGGGAGACCCTGTCTCAAAAAGACCTGGAGAAAAAGAAAAAAACCTCATTCATAAAAGAATTTAAGAATGGACCCAAATGGAAGCTTTAAAAATTTTGTTATAATCAAATTCTCAAGGCAGGCAGGCTGGTAATCTTGGCAGCTGCCTTGAGAAGGTGAATAGTTGGGAGGCGGAAAGAAAGCCATGAAGCCATGCACGTTTAGAGCCTGCATGGAGGTCAGACACGTGGCTGATTGGCAGACACCCGGCTGAGAGAAGGAAGCTTTAGAGAAAAAGTAAAGAAACACAAGATGCTAGGGGCAGCCAAAAGCCTTAAATAAAGCATGTGTAGTAAGAAAGCCATGAAGAAGAAAAGGAGAAATTACTCTTTCCTGAAGAATTCAGGAAAGCGGACAGACATATAGAGAGCTACATGACTGTGGCTCATCTGGAATTTCTTCTGAGTTCTGCACTAGTTCCAGACAGGAAATATTCACTAACTATTCATTAACACACCAGATGTTCTGCTCATTTATTTAGCGTAACTTTAGGTGGACCTGCCTCCCTAGGAGTGGTTCTATTGAAAAAATAAATAAAAGTCAGGAGCCATGAAGTCTCTCAGGCAGGTCGTGTACCGGTCAAGAATTCCAACTTACTGATAAGTAAGTTTTATGGCCGAGACATCTGGCTTACTGATAAGTAAGTTTCATGGCCGAGACATCTCCAACTCACTGATAAATAAGTTTTATGGTTGAGACATCTGGCTTAGTGATAAGTAAGCTCGCCGCTCTCCCTGTAGCATTTTGTAATAGTTTAAACTAACCAATAACCGCGTTTCTGCTTCTGTATCCCGCTTCTGCTCTATAAAGGTGCCAAACCCCAGCCTGTAGGTGCGCAAGAAGGAAACCAATATCAGTATTGGCCCTTCTCTGCCTCAGATCTATATAACTGGAAGACCCATAACCCTTCTTTCTCTCAGGACCCGCAGGCCCTAACGGCCCTCATAGAATCCATCCTTCTCACCCACCAGCCCACGTGGGATGATTGCCAACAGCTATTACAGGTCCTCCTAACTACGGAGGAAAAGCAGAGGGTCATCCTGGAAGCCCGGAAGCACGTCCCGGGGGCAGATGGGAGGCCGACCCAGCTGCCGAATGAGATTGAGGCTGCCTTCCCTCTCACTAGGCCTGCTTGGGACTTCAATACAGCTGAAGGTAGGGGACACCTACGTCTTTATCGCCAGGTGCTTGTAGCGGGCCTCCAAGGGGCAGGAAGGCGCCCCACCAATTTGGCTAAGGTAAGATCAGTAATGCAGGGAACTGACGAGCCGCCCACTGTGTTCCTAGAAAGACTTAAAGAGGCATATCGGAGGTACACCCCCTTTGACCCCGATAGCCCCGATCAAGAAGTGAGTGTCTCGATGTCTTTCATATGGCAGTCAGCTCCTGATATTAGGAGTAAGCTCCAGAGAATGGAAAATCTACAGGGGCAAGGTCTTAGAGACCTCTTAAGAGAGGCAGAGAGGATTTTTAACAAAAGAGAAACTCCAGAAGAAAAAGAGGAGAGACAGAAAAGAGAGGCAGAGGATAGAGAGACAATGAGAGACCGAAGGCGGAATAAGGAATTGAGTAGAATCCTGGCCACAGTAGTGAGAAAGGAAGGTAATGGCAGAGTAGAAAGGAAGGGAGACAATTGGCTTGTCCAACTAGAAAAAGACCAGTGCGCCTACTGCAAAGAAAAAGGACACTGGGCAAAGGACTGCACCAAAAGAAAGAGAAACCAAAAAGGAGGAAAAGCCGAGGTCCTCCAGCTCGATTAGGGAGGTCGGGGCCAGGAACCCCCACCTGAGCCCAGGGTAACTCTTCATGTTGGGGGACAGCCAGTCACCTTCATAGTAGATACTGGGGCGCAACATTCCGTCCTTACCCAGACGACTGGCCCGCTTAGTAAGAAAACAATATGGGTAGAAGGAGCCACTGGAGCCAAACGTTACCACTGGACTATAAGCCGGGAGGTTCAGCTTGCTTCAGGGACGGTGACTCATACCTTCCTGCATGTACCAGACTGTCCCTACCCCCTGCTAGGACGGGACCTACTAACCAAGCTTGGAGCACACATCTACTTTGAAAATAAGGGAGCCAAGGTTACTGATTCCAAAGGGACACCCATACAAGTGCTTACTCTTAAATTAGAAGATGAATATAGACTACATCATGGTCCCCATCTTGTCCAGACAGACATAGATCAGTGGCTGTCCAAGTACCCTGACACTTGGGCAGAGACGGGAGGAATGGGGCTGGCCATACACCAGCCACCCCTAATTGTTGAACTAAAAGCCACCGAGACCCCGGTGGCTGTCAAGCAATATCCTATGACAGCCGAAGCCCGCCAAGGAATTAGGCCACACATTAAACGACTGCTGGAACAAGGGATATTAATCCCATGCTGGGCAGCCTGGAACACCCCTCTGTTGCCTGTTAAGAAACCTGGGAGCGGGGATTACAGACCAGTGCAGGACCTGAGAGAAATCAACAAGCGGGTAGAAGATATCCACCCCACGGTCCCAAACCCTTATAACTTATTGAGCACCCTGTCTCCCAGCCATACCTGGTACTCTGTATTGGACCTAAAAGATGCCTTCTTCTGCCTAAAGCTGCACCACCAGAGTCAGCCCCTGTTCACCTTCGAATGGAAGGACTCCGATCTGGGAATTTCCGGTCAGCTTACTTGGACACGGCTGCCACAGGGGTTCAAGAACAGCCCCACCCTCTTTGATGAGGCCCTGCACCAAGATCTGACTGCTTTCAGGACCCTCCACCCCCACCTGATTCTGTTGCAGTATGTAGATGACATTTTGCTGGCGGCAGAGACACGGGAAGAGTGCCTAACAGGTACAGAGGCTCTTTTGCAAGAATTGGGGCTGATGGGCTACAGGGCCTCTGCAAAGAAGGCACAACTCTGCCAACAAGAGGTAACCTATTTGGGGTACCGATTGAACGGAGGGCAGAGATGGCTGACACAAGCCCGCCAGGAGACCATCTTGGGCATCCCGACACCCCAAGATC